AACGTTGGTAGCAGAAGGCCAGAATTCCCATCTTTTTGCTCGAGCAAGCACGGCGAATAGGACGATTCCCGCTTAGTCTGCTTTGTACGACGGCCAAGGCCGCGCCCCTCTGTCCCTGTACCTAGTACATAGAACAGAGTATCCGCACACCATAGTAGATGAGCAATCATGAACCATCCACGGATACAAGTTACAACCTTGACACTAGTCGGCTGCTCGGCGGATGATGGGGGTTGATGGATCATGGATGCGTGCAATTGGTAATCACTCGCGGCCTGACCAATCGCCCAGTCCCGTCCTGTCCCTCACTCTCGCTACCACGGTGACAGGAGATTCGAGAAGACTTGAGGCATGGAACCCGCCATAGGCATTGACACTCTGTCCATGTTTTCTCCTTGTACCAGCATCGGCTCTAGAGATTTCCAGTTCCCATGCGACCTGCCCTGCAACTTGCCAGGTCCCCCCCTCGTTTTTCCTACGCCGGTTTTGATACGACACCCGACCACGATCAAGTATCCGTACAAAGTACATAGTAATGTGGACAAGGAACGAGAGTCCAAGAGTCAGGACTGCTTTGCCTGCAACTTCGAGGTGTGCATGAGGAAGAGGAAAGGAAAAGCAAGCAATCGTCTGGGACGTCTTCAATCCACACTCTTCATAGTTATCATCCAAATTGAACAACCAGTTAGGAGACGAAAAATGCCGTCCATTTCACCTCACAACACCTCACACCCCCGTTTTACCTCCAGTTAGCATTGCCTATTTGGTAGGCTGCTTGATGACGGTCGTGGTTCATAAGCATCAAGCACGAACACAACAAGACCAGGCCAAACGGGCACAGAACGGGCCGTGGTCCTAGGGCCTTGGGCTTGCAATGCAACGCCCTACCCACTATCAAACCAGCGAGCTCAAGTCCGGTTCGTCACGATGGTACCGAACCCCGGGGCGCGGACCAAAAGTACTCCCGCCGCCTCGATAATCCATACCCCCGCCCTCCCAGCGAGCGGTTGTCTTCATCAGCAATGAAGCAAAGTGCATTCTCCTCAAGGTTTGCGACCACGATCAGTCGTCCAATCGATCCGGATCCGACCCAACCCAATTCACATCGTCTTCAAGCGCTCTGGAGTCTGCCTGTCATTATTTCCATGCATCCACTATTCAGCCTCCGTCACACGCCCTCCATCCTGCTTCCGGGTGCGTCACGTCCGTCTGCACGCTGCTTGTTAGCGCTCACCTAAACCGGCTGCCCGTGTCTGCAAAAGACAAATTTACTTGCTCGTCCGCCAGGCTTCTCCATTTCCGTTCGCCGCTTTCACCGAGACTTAATGGAAGTTTATGAACAGCTGGTGGGAAAGTAGGAAGAGAGAATCACGATGGGGCAGAAAAGGGCATGAATAGCTCTTTGCACAGCCAAGCCACTGCTGCTACGTCTTGCTGACATTGACCAGCCGATAATCGTGTGCTGGCAACGCTACACACTGACCGCAGGCAGATCTCAAGAGCAACCACCGCGGCTACTGGTTCACGCGGATGAGCTCATGTCATCATTCCTTCTCGCAGCCAGGCTAATCCCAGCCTCGAGGTGGCTACAGCACGATTGCTATGGGCCGCCTCCCGGCCAGCGATCCGGGATCAACCAAAACCAATTTGCTGCGTCACAGTATTGCCCTGCTACCTCCAATTGCTCTGAGGCTGAGCAGTTGGCGCGTTTATTACAGGAAGCAATCGTCGTCGCCCTGGCCCATACTATTCCCATCCTCCTGCGTCCCTACAGGGACTCGAAAGGTGGGCCTGTTCCAGGCGCAGGCATCGCTTTTCGCCAGAAATTATCCGTAGAGATGCTGATTCTCACAACGACCCATACTTGGCTGCCAACAGCCCCGGGAGGAGAAATTGGCCAAGAATTTGGCAGCAAGGGGTAGCGCGCAGACGGCCCCCAGAGTGGCAGCTCAAGTCTGGTCTTTATGACTGGCGGAGCACCAAAACGGACGCCTCATTTACGAGCGACCGATGCAATCCCGGGCTCACTGGCTACGGTTCGCAGTGTGCTCCATATTACATCTCATTTACTATGGTACACCTCAAATATCCGTAGAAAGCGGCGACACTCCATCGGCCAGGCCCCCGGTGAGTGATGGAAGTGGGAGGCCGACGGGTCTCAGGGTTGCATCGTACCCATGGCGCCCGGACGGATCGCGAATCTTTGCACCTGTGGCACTAGGGCCTGATAGGCATGCGGGATTGAGATGCGCGCTCGGGCAAGCCTGCTAGTGCTCCTCACCTGAGCCAAGCTTTTTAAGTATGTCGTGTCAAGTTACAGAAAACACTCGCCAGTCGAGCTCCATTCCTTCGCGTGCGACTCGTAGGAGACGACCACCACAAAAGCGCGAGACTGCGACATATCAATGGCATAGAAGAACGACAAAGTCACACACAAACACGCAGAATGATCCAATCTTTTGGTGCAAACATGAGGCTGAAAACCCAAGGATAAGAGACCATCGAGGAGGCGATCCCGTCCCGATCGCACCCCCCTCGACCAAACCGTCCTAGCCACACAGGAATGGCATCTTGAAACAAATCTACAGCCGCCGGGGAGGTACGCATTCAATCACGCAGCGCTACTTTGGCACTTTCGGCAGGGCCAACCTTCTTTTCGCCTGACCTTGGCAACTTCTCCTTGGATCGTCTCTGCTCACAGATCTGTCCGTGTTCTCCTATTGCAATGAATGGGATACATTATACAATGCCCGAATGAACTACTCAGTGCCAACCAGGAAACCCCGACATCGTCGACCTCGGCAGGTTTGGTCAATACATGGGGGTGTCCCCTGCGAGTTCCTCTCACAACCAACAGAGACATTAAACTCAGGCCAACGAATATTGCCGTCAATCAGCTAGCCTCACCTCTCCTCCGCTCATTATAAGTTACTGAACAATCTAGCGGCCAGCCATTTAGATAAAGCGTTCGAGTCTATCTCTGAAGGAGGTTCCACCTGAGGGGATCGTCAAGCCTCAAAACCACCAAGGGGCACACACTAGCAATCAGCGTACTAATACCACATATGTCTCAATTAGGAAATAGAGAGAAGGTGGAGGGATGTACACTCGGGCCTTCGGGACTTACGATATGTCCATTCGGAGGTAGGACGGGGGAAGGCGGGACTTGCAGCACTAACTAGCCAGCTATCTGCAGGCTGCATTCACGGCGCAGACGGAGCCCATTTTAACGCCGAGGGCGACGAGGGTGGGGACGGGTGAGACTTTCGCGCGCCGTTTCCACGAGCGGACGCCGCCCTTGACTCTTGAGTGGCACGAGTGGGAAGTATTATGCCCCAAAGACACCAAGCACCACACAACGGGCAGCCTGACAGATGTCCTTTTCTTTGAGTACCCAGCATAGGACCAGGCAATTGTGAACAGCTGTGGCTGCTTAGGAATTCCTCTATCAAGTAGCGTCCGTGGCACAGATTTTGCCTCCAGGCTTCTGGGCAATTAAGAAATCAGATGCGGAACCTGTTGAAGCCAACACCAAGATTGCGTGCGTCGATTAACAGTAGGTCGCCCTCATCCAATCCAGGACTGAGAATCAGTCCAATCCCGCAAGGAAACGGACGGAGGACAACGGATGGGAGGCAGGAAGCTGGAGGCAGGAGACAGGATGTGGCCTCGTGCCGGGAATCCCACAGCCCTCCAATGCAAGCCCTTCCCAAACGTGCAAGAGAAGGCCAGACGGCTTCCACGGGACGCGGGCTGATTTAAACTTCTGGGATGATCGCTTTGATCGCGGCCCAGGGTCCTGGAATGGGTTCAACGATGCACTTTTGACCCGGACCGCCGTCCTTGCAGATGGGTTCCCTGAGCAACTTTAGGTCCTATGACAAACTCGGCAAGTTTTCGAGTGCGACCTGGCAAACGCCTACCCGTTCACGTCGCCCGGGAACTCCTCAACCACCGACACGGTCATGCACCGCAACGGACCCAGGACCACGGTGGCCCCTATTCCGGAGTTCTTCTTGGCCCCTGAAACCGAAAAAAAATTCGAGAGATGCGGTCTCCAATGGTTCGCGCTAGGGATCGTCGGGGTCGTCCTCTTGGCCGCCCTTCTTGGGCATCCCGGGAGGCTGGACTGCTGACCAGTCCGCTGCCCGCGTTCCTGCACGATCGTGAATAATCAAGCCCGTTTCTGCTGCACCTCCGAAGTCCCTTTTACTCCGTCATCCGTGGCTTCCGCTGTCACAACCGTCTACGCCGCCGCGATGTCTACGCCGCCGCGGTTGCCGAACTCATGTTCGTCTGACACTAACCCGAGCCGAGTCATCGCCGGGCCTCAAATGCACCGCATCTAAGCTGTGGCGGAGGATGAGAGCGATAAATTGCAAAATGCCACTGGGGTACCTAGATGCCTGTTGGCAGGTGTCACTCGTTGACTTGTCGTCCAGTAAGCGACGTCGCAATGGCTTATATTCCTAAATCACTCAAGTGCAAGCCGCTCGGAACGCTAAACCCCCCTCCACTCTGCTTTGCGAATACGGCAGCTCGATCCTACATGAGCGGTTTTGATCCTAACAAGAACATAAGAACAAACAGGCGTCTCTTATTTCTCGCTGCCAAAGTAATGTTTTAAATGCTTTAACTGCAATAACAGGTTCAATCGAGAATGGCTGCAGCCGTTTGTTCGAGAGCTTTTGGCAGTGATGACATAAGAAATGATAAGATAAGGCCATAGGCCAATAGGTAGTAGCTTAAGTGGTCCACACTAAAATGGTCGCCGAAGCACGCTCGACGCGAAAACCGTCACTCGCGCGTTGGCGAGACGCTCCTTCCAACTACAGCTGTTCTATCACCGTGAAATATGTAACTCATCATTTTATCACGACTCTCTGTACATTCTGAAAGGTACGCCCACCTTCAGCCCGCCGTGTTCTTGGTAGTCCGAGCCGGGCACATCCGCGAGTTCAGATTTGCACAAGGCTGCAGGCATCTGCTTCTTATCCGCCATGGCTCGCAAATCGGGCAACACTGCCCCAGCAGGCGCAAACAAGAACGCCGATATCAGAAGCTTCTTCGGGGCCGGTCGTGCTGCTGCCAAAGCATCGTCTGCCGTGACGTCCTCGCAAGTCTCTCAAAATTCCGCATCCCAATCCTCGTCAGCAACCCAAGAGCTCCAAGATTGCATATTCGCGAGCGCTCAGACGCGAGATGTGAAGCCGCAAAGAAAGGCGGCCGTGAGCAAGAGTCTGTCTCCAAAGAAGACTCATGACGAGAACACGAATCTCAAGGCCGCTAAATCCTCCGCTAAGAGAGGTCCTACTCCAACCGCCGGCCAACGGCCTGCCCTCACGGCATCCAACCTTAATACCTCCATGTCATCATTATCTGAACTTCAAGACACACCAGTTCTATCCCCACCAATGCGGCGAGTTATTCGTCTAACGCCAATACGGCAAAGATCACAAAGGTCACGATCCGGCACACCGAAAGGGACCGTCACTCCAAAGACGTTACGGTCAGGTCGAAGTAACGGCTCACCGCGAAAGGTTCGCTTCTCATCACTACCATCTTCGCCTCGGCTGTCTCCTGAGCCCGAGGAGCCCATGACACCTCGACGGTTGTTGTTTGGACAAAGCCCGGGGAGGAAAACGGCTAGCGAGAGCCCACGAGGATCGCCTCCAGCTGGCGAGCTCGCTGACTTACCCTCATTGCAGAGAGGCAAGCTGCAGCGCACGCCCAAGCGCGATATCTCAGGGGAGCCAAAGGTTGATGGAACACCCAACAGCTTGCCGTCACTCCCGAGTCTACCCAGCTCCCCCGCCCTCCCATCATCTCCACCAACAACAAAGAAGCGTCCGATTCTCACAAGAGATGCAGTCATCAAAGGGTCCGACGACGAGGACGATGACGGTTCTTTGTCTGATGACTCCTTTCCAGATCTCGACATGCTCGGCCCCACCAAGCCAAGGCCAGATGGAACGCCAAAGGCCAAGAGACGGGCCAGACTGGTTCACAAGTCGCCTCTCACCATCCAGCCAAAGCACAAATTCGACTTCAAGACATTGGATGCCCACTCGAGGAGGCACGATGTGCTGTTTGAGAGCCCACGACGGCCAGCTGAGCCTGCACCTAAGGATGATGTTATGGTGGATACCGAAGAAAGTCCTAGCAAAGCTCGCCAGAAGCTGATCGAGATTGCTGGTGTCAAGACTGAGGAAGATGCGGACAAGGCGCTCCGAGCTATGGAGCGGACTGATGCCGGTGCCTCAAGGACCAGATGGTACTTCTTCAAAAAGGATGTGAGCGGGCTAGGAGAACCTGCTCCGTTCCCCAAGAAGTATGCAAAAGGCCCCTGGTCTTTCCTCGAAAAGCCCGGAACAAGAGACTGGCACATCATGTCCGGAATGCCGAACAATCTAGCCGTCAATGTTATGTTCCCAGACGAACTGTATCTCTGGATCTTGGGCATGGTGACTGTTGAAAAGTTTGGTGTCCTTCGGGGGGAATACAGCAAGATTGCCACTGCCAACGACAAGCAGGTCAAGCGCCTGATCACGCCTCAACTGCTGGAAGAGAGCCTGAGGAGATTGGGCGCCGCGGATTTTGTCGGGGACGAGGTACTCCGGCCCGTACGAGAAAGTCGAGATATCTATGCCGATCGCGACTGGGAACCTCTCCAGTCGTTCTTGGAATGGATGGCCTACGTGGCCCATCATCTGACATACGAAACGGTCGCGTACGCTGTTAAGATACTCTTGCGCATGGCGGCTGACAAGATGGTCCTCGAGAACGTGGACGTTCTCATGCATCATCAGAATGCCTTGGCGGCTTTGGTCGATACAGTCAAGGACAGTGTCTGGAACGAATTTGTGAGTTTATCCTCCAGAAGTTGAGTGGAAGGTGGTGCTAAGACTGTTTGTCAAAGTGTACCGAGATCTGCTCGTCTCTGTATCACGGATTCGACAAGACATCGCTGCGGATGTTGCCGCTCATCTGCATGCCCGTCACTTCGCGGAAGCTGCACGAACTGCGGAGACGCCTGGCGGTCGCCTTTTTTCTCCGAGACGCTGCTCTAGCCAACGAGCACCCTGATGATGTTATCAGCCTTCGCCTCGTCATTGCTCGGGTTAAGGACAGCGACTTCAAGATCAACAACAAGACCGATTACGTCAACCTAAAGGCTTTGGTTCAGCTCCTTGACATGGCAGTGGACGACGGGGCTTTTGCGCGTGACGACGAGGACTTAATTTACGAAAAGGAGTTCAATGCAGATATTGACGATCTCGCGAAGCGTCTCAAGGCCATCTGGCGAGGCATCAACGACACTGGAGCTGCGAATCTAGCCCGTACAGAGGCCAAGAGCGTGCTTGAATGGGTTGGCGAGCGTCTGACATACTCGGTGAGAACCAAACGCCCTCCAACACAAAGCATATTTGGAGAACAAGGCCCGTCGTCGGCCAAGAAGAGGCGTCAACAAGACTTTATGCAAAAGTTTGTCCGCTCTCGAAAGAATAAGCCGTCTGAGATGGACACCGGCATCGAACCCGCATCAAGCGAGGATGAGACTTTCGTTACAGCAATAGGTTGAATGATAACGGACTCTTAGTTGCAACGATAACTACCTAATACGCCAAGGGTTGGCCACCACCATCATACAGCATCTAAGATACACCACAGGAAGGAGTTTGAAACAGGGTGGGCGCCGGGGAGTCCTTCATGCAGCGTTTAGTGTGTCCAGCCCCAGGGAGAAAAAGAGGGCTATACAGGGTTTTTGCTAGGCGCACTTCTGGGTTGGGATGGTTTAGTCAGTGAATCTGCGGTTGGGGTTCTTGCCAAACAGGGTCTCTCGGACGGCCGGCAGACCGGTCTCCTGGAGGAGGTTTAGACGCTCCTCGAATGTATTGTTGATTTCAATCTTGCCCTTTCCACCGATGATGAAAACACCTCCAGCGCTGCGCCGTTTGTTAAAAACCATGGTCTGCACTCGCGATGTTTCCCCTGGCTCTCGGGGAAGGATTACGTACCTCTCTGCGGGGAGGGGCTCCGACTCGTCAAGCTTGGCTGACGTGTCCTTGCCAACCTCCTTCTTATACTCCTTAGTGGCCTCCTCAATGGCCTTCTTGACGGCATCAAAATCGGCTTTCCGCGCGCGGACAACGACCTCGGGCTCGGCGAGGGCGTAGAGGCCCTCGAGGACCAGGCTCTTAAGGGTAGCCTGGTACTTTCCCTTGTCCTTGGTAGCGTTGGAGAGCTTCTTGCGGGCGTCCTCAAAGATATTGTCGAGGAGCTCCTGGCGGGCGCCGAGGACCTTGAGCCGCGTCTTGTTGGAGACGGTGGAGCGGGTGATTTGCTGGGACATCTGGGCCTGCTTGAACTTCTTCTCGTATTGGCCGTCGATGGCGTCCGTCTCCTGGCGGACGAGCTTGGACTTTTCGATTGCGAACTCCTCGTTGGCCTTGATCTCGATCTCGCGGGCCTTTTCCATTGCCTCCTGCTTTATGAAGGCCGTCATTTTGCGGAGCTCCTGGCCGACCTGTTTTGGTGCACGCCATGTTTGATTAGCGGGCTACGTCTCTCTCCCCCCCTCTCTATCTCTGTCTCTCGTATGTGTGTGTGTGTGTATCGGACAGGAGGCTCGGGTTCAACCCGAAGAGGCTCTCGTTATGAGATGAGGTCGGGGTAGCTTACTTGGTCGTCCGTCAACGGTTGGTGCGACATGATGGCGGTTTGGGGGGTGCGTGAGCGACTTTTGTTGATTCAATTAGGTTTATCGGAGGTGGGAAGAACGACGGGCGATGATGAGATCGCGTGAGAAGCAGAGAGGAGCTGGTGGAAAGCCCGTCGGGAGGAGGTTCGCGATGGGGAGGGGGGATCGAATCGGATTGCGGTGGTTGACTGAAGCTGTTGTTTGACGAGGCCTAGTACCTTAGGTTCTCTAAGCCGCGCAGCAAGTGCATCACTGGGCGTTCGGCCCCCAGCTTCAGGAACCACAGAGCAGGTATCCATCCGTCAGCCACAGATTGCTTAAGTGGGGTGCGATACTGGACCGGCTCGCAGTGAGTCGTGCGCCACATACGGTCCGTGCATCTGGCAGCTGCAGACGCCGCAGGCATTTGTGCACTTCTCCAGCCACGTTTCCTTCTCAGCCTGTGACATCACGGAGGCCATCTGGAGACGCTCATGGGAAATCGCGATAAGATAATCCGGAATCCGATAACGGGAGGTGACGAATATCCGAGGAACAGCCGTCTCAAAACAGCCATGCCCCTAGTTACTTCCCAGCCTACCAGCTTAGCACATGTGCAAAGGTGCAGAGGGGCTAGGTACGGAGTACCTCACTTAACAATGCAATGCAAGCGGCACCTGAAGAGTGGACGGCGACGGGAGTCCCTTGCTGCTTAGGTTGGCTGCTGCGGGCGAGACAGGTACCTTGAGATCACTGGGGGTGTGGGTGCTGCTGCTTGATGCAGTCGGCATCTCCCCCTTCCTGGTTCCGTCCTGGCCAGACCACCCCGACGCTCTTCTACACCGATGGGAACAGAGAGCGGCCATTGCGTCGGTGCATAGTGAACATACGTCTGTCTGGTGTTTCGAGCTGCGCCATCATCTAACACCAGAGATCTGTTCACCGACTCCGGCCATGTGGGAACTGGCTATTGTATAACGCTGCATTGATCAGGTTTACGCAACCACCAATTTCTCCGAGATACCTGGCAATTTGTCGCTTGGTTGTTCCGTCAAACAATATACCTAGACGCGCATTCAAACTTGAAACCCATTCGCAAGCTCTCTCTTGGCGGCTATTGGAGGGAAGCGACAGCAAAGCAACCATTTTCCCAACCGTGGCGAGACACAACCGTTCGGACAACTTTACCTGGCCACATCATCTCCAATCCCAGAACACGAAGCATTCCACAATCGCTTTGTTTGCACCGTCCCCCTCTCACCCCTCCATCCTGCCGAAGCGTTCGATCCCCTCCGTCCAGCCGCTGGAGTCGATTTCATCTGGTCCTCGTTGCGAAAAGGCAGCACCTCCCACGTACGTGCCGCCAGGATACCGACGGGCCTACACGGTTGCGCGGGCCTGCCAGAGAAACAAGGGACGACGATAAGTCGATGAGACCGACTGCCGCTGCTTCAACCTCGACCGCCGCCAGATGACCGACACCTAGCTCCTTGCGCGTGCAATGGGGTCCTTTGGCGGCATCTCCCCTGGGGGGACAATCGCCGTATGCATCTGCCTCCCTTTGCGCCTCTGTCGCTTCGTAAACGACCAAGAAGATTATCCGTCGCTAACGTTGCCCTTCTTTCCCCCCTCGTGTAGATAGGAATCATCGTCGGTCTCTTGTCCACCAGCGTCCAGAGCCTGGGTCTCACCCTCCAACGCAAATCCCACATTCTCGAAGACGAAAAGGGCCCGCACGAGATCCGTCGGCCGCCATATCGGAGGGGGAAATGGCAGCTGGGGATGGGCATGTTCATCGCCGCAAACCTGCTCGGTAGCTCCGTCCAGATCTCAACCCTCCCTCTCCCTGTACTCTCGACCCTGCAGGCGTCGGGCCTCGTCTTCAACTCGATATGCGCTACCCTTATACTCAACGAACCCTTCACGAGGTGGTCGCTATGGGGTACCCTACTCGTCTGCGCCGGCGCCGTTCTGATTGCCATCTTCGGAGCCATTCCTGCTCCCGCACACAATCTTCAGGAGCTTCTTGAGCTCCTCGGTCGGAAGCCTTTCGTGGTATGGATGATCTTGCAGGCCTTCCTCGTCCTGTCCATAGCCATCAGCGTCGACTGCCTCGACCACTTCACAAGCATGTCACTCAATTCGCGATTCCGCTTCGTCCGCGGCCTCGCCTACGGATGCATAAGCGGTATCCTCTCGGCGCATTCGCTGCTAGTTGCCAAGTCGGCCGTCGAGCTGATCATTAAGACGATCGCGGACGGCAATAACCAATTTGTTCACTGGCAGGCGTGGGTCCTCGTGCTGGCGCTGGTCACCCTGGCACTGAGTCAACTCTACTACTTACACCGCGGTCTGAAGCTCGTCTCGACCTCGGTCCTATATCCTTTGGTATTCTGCATCTATAACATCATTGCGATTCTGGACGGTTTGATATACTTCAAGCAGACGGACCAGATCAACCCCTTACGCGCATGTCTCATCGCTCTTGGGACAGTCATCCTACTTGCTGGTGTGCTGGCACTATCGTGGCGTCTCAGCGACGAACAGCACACGCCAGGTGTCGGTCAGTCATCTTTAGCCCCCGGACTTGGTCTTGTGGAGGATACGGAAGACGAAGAAGAGTCCCTCCTAGGCGGCGACGACCTTTACAGCCTCCACGAAGAAGATGACCCATTACCCGCTACAACCTATTCAACATTTAACGTGGCCAGCGGTGAGACGACACCCCTAACACCCACACCGAAGCGGAAGAAGACGGGTAGGAGATGGCAAGAACGCGCTGAGATTTGGGGCGAACTCGAGGACCGCGATACTTCCAGCCCGCCCACCTCGCGCAGACGTTCTAGCACTATGCCCGGCGAACTCAGCGAGTCCACCTCTTTACTCCCGCACCGCCGCGGCGTAAGCAGCGGTAGCGGTAACCCCCTCTTTTCGTCCTCGGAAGCAGGACCCAGCACCGAGTCCCTTTCGTCACGCCGGCCCGGCCCGGGTAGGAGGCGACGTAAATCCACCGGGTTTCCGGGCTTCACGGCCCGTCGTCGGCGCAAGAGTCAGAGCAGCAGCCAGCTCACACTGCAAGAGGCGTTGGGCGGTATCTGGAATCTCAAGTGGTGGCGGTCCGACAGGGGAGACGACGGCGCGAGCAATCCGCCCGGCAGCAGTGGGAGCGGTAGCGTATGGCCCGTATTCCGAGACGAGCCTCCGCCGCCGACGGGACAAGGGGAAGGGGAGAGGGATATTGGTGGCAGTGGAGGCAATGACGGCGGCGACGGGTCCCAGGATAGGGGGTGGGGCGGTCGATCAAATGATGATTCGCCTGTATGAGTATCGGAACACTTGTCACGTCATTATTCCCTTTTTCAACATGTTCTTCTTTTTACCAAGAAATTCGAAACTTTTCATGTGAGCATAACAGCCTATACTTAGACATGCGCCAACTGCCAGCAGTATGAGTTTTACACAATTCTCCAGTGGCATGCTAACTGGCCAATCCAGTCTCTGGAACGTCAAAAGCAACCAGCTATCAACATGTATTAGTCGTCAACCTCGTTGGACACATCAATGTAAAAGAGATTAGTTTTTTTCAACGACCGAATTCAGGTCTGAGCAACTTTTCTAAAATGCCAGCTGTCAAATACGAGCGTTGCCTTCGTGTGGAGAGTCTTTTTCAAGTTCGTTCTCCCACCTTGAAGGGTTCGGTGGGATTGCTTGTGTTGAGAAAAGGGAAAAGTGTTTAGATGCAACGTTTTGGGTGCACGGTCGTGACAGGTGACGTTGATAAATTTTGACTTTTTTTTTGGTTTTTCTGATCCTGTCTGTTGGGCATGTCGACATCGGATTGTCATGGCCGTGGCTGTGATCGCGGGCAGTGTGTACTTGACATTGATCATCATTGTTAACCTACCGCACCTGCCCAAAGTCTGGAATTCCACGAGCGTCTCGACATCCGTCATGTCTGTGGTATAGCGGTACTACTCATCTTTTATTGGACTCTGATGCAGTAGACTTGAAGGTGTGTTCTTGGGGGTCGGGGGACGTGGGTGGACGAAGACGAGTAACTCGGTGAATTTTCCACGAATTTCTTCTCTCTGAACTTGGTTCACTCTCTCTCTCTCTCTCTCTCTCTCTCTCTTTTGGACAGCGAGAGAGCGACGACGTCGGTAAACTCTCCTTTGAAGGGGGGTTCTGTTCTTTTGTATCATTCATCCTGACGCGTAGAACCTATGATGAAAATGGACTCTCGGCTCGCCGCCGGACAGACGCCATCCTCCCCTGCTCAGACAACGGGCAGATTAACGAAAGGCGAGACGAAGAAGTGCGAGATGAACATCCGGCTTTCAACCCACCCGCGAAGATTGGGAATCATCACATCCCGCAATGTCTAGATCGAGATAGGTAGTCTGAGCATGACTTCGTGCCCTGCCCACACGTGAAATGTGCTTCGAGGCCCAATCTTGTAAACCCCGAGTCTCCTCTTGATTGTCTATATCAAACATATTATACTCGGCGAGGAATGGGTGCAAACAATTGGATGCTTTAGGCGGATTGTGTCAATTATCATACGTGAAACGAGATTTATTGGACGTGACGCATCTCCAGCTACTACCGCGCCCCTTCTTTTTGTTACAAACACGGATACTCGGCTTCAGAGCAATAGACAGGGGAAAAAGCGTCACAGCCAGCTATGAATATTTGGCATGATAGCAAGTTATCTAGTCCTCTGTGCTGCGTCAGGCTTCGACGGTAGTGTCGATGACCTCCTCCTCCTCTTCCTCCTCCTCGCCCGTCGTTGATCCGGGTAGATTATCCAGCTAGTCTATGTCGTTCCATCTACATTGTGGGGGTTCCACCCCAAAATCGCCTATACGCCGCTTCCCTCTCACCTCTCCTCTCGCTCTCAGCCTCACCCGACGCTTCCTCGCCTTGCCTTGCCTTCTCACCTGTCACTCAGTCTTTTTCTATTCATCTATCTCAATCAAACTAACTCCAAATTCCTCAACTGGCCTCTTCTCTCCTCCACTCCCATCAAAGCCCCAAACTCCGGCCCCTAATCATCTTTCGATCGGGTTCCGCTTGGCGTGCTTATCCTATATTCCCAGAGTCTTCTATTTCCAGCTCGCCGTCTTCACAAGTACGCTAGTTTCACCTGGCACCTGCCATCTAGTTCGCCGACTTTGCTCGATAATCTTGTCTATCTAAATTTTCGGGAGCCGTAAATAAAAAGATTGGGGAGAGGGGGCCTCTTGGCCTTGGCCTTTTTGCACAACGTCGTTCACGTCATCCATCGTCACAAATAGATGCGGCGCATGGCGACGTGTACACACTTGATGGATTAGCGAGATTGTTATATATTTGCACACGCATCTCCCTCCTTTTTGGTTTATGACGAGAGTTGATGACCGTCTTGCCACACTCAGGAGCAAAACCTCTCCCTATTCTTACACATCCCACGCACTCCTGTCGTTCACTTAGGGTCACATAATGAGTCACAGGCCAACCCCGATCAAACGAGATGCGAGATTTTCAAGAAATAGATTTGCTTTCAGGGCAAGTTCCCCCCTTTTTTACAGAATAGAGATAATCAACACTAAAAAATCTATATATGGTGTCCGTGCAAACAAGAAAGAAGGGAGTTCGTCGGTAGGAAGGCTTGGAGAGGTAAGAGAGATGTTGGCCGTCACACGAAAAAGACCTGTCGCTTCGAGAATCTCCGTCCGAATATTCGTTTCCATGCGTTAAGATTCGTACACCACTCCGTTTTCTCCTACTTAATCAAGAGGAGGAGCAAACGGGAGGCTTCTGCGCAACGCAGAAAAAAAAGGGGGGGTCAAGTTATTGATTCAGCCTGTCCAGTTTGTCTAAGGAATTGGAGCAAGATTAAGACCAATCAATGGCCGCGGCGGGAGATAAGGCGATTCAGTCTTTCCCCATCCAGAAGCAGGAGACCAGATACAGTTGCTCGCTCCGATTTGCCAAACGCAAAAGAAAAAAAAGAGTTTCCGAGAAAAGCTGGTATCCCGAGCGAGAAACGAAAAGGTTGGGCGCCAACTCGAGCCGGCGGCGTTTTGCCCTGATAGTCTGAAGCCGGACCACTGGCTTAGAAACCGCGGTAGCCGGCCTTCTCGTCGATGTGGCGGTAACGTTCGCGTTCCTTGCGATCCTTGAGCAGCATAGCGATGCTGACAATGAGCATGGCGTCGATACCGACCATACCAAAGACGGCGGTGAAAATGTTGTCGACGAAGATGTTGGCAAAACTCGTGATCGGGGTTGCGCAACCACGCTGCAGGGCGGCGGCGGCGGGACTCGGGCATTGGGCGTCGGTGACGAAGGCGGGTGACGTGCTGTTGAAGTATCCGCAGCATTTGAACTGAGTTCAAGCGTCAGTTACTGGCACTTTATATTGAACCCAGGAAAGGCACTTACAGCAGTCTGCATAAGTTCCTGGACACGAGGGTCCTGGACATTCCACGTCTTGCCAAAGTCGTTCTTGGTGGTGAGGGTGAGAACCCAAAGGTAAACACCAAGAACCAGACTGAAGAGACCGCAGAAGGTGGTCAGGTAACCCGAAATCTTAAGCCAGCCACGAGTCGGCGTGATCATGCCGGGGATCGTGGAGAGGAAAGTAACGAAGATGAAGACGGCATTGGCAATACCGGCTGTTAGTCAAGTCAGTCAGGATGTCCGGTATATTCTTCCACGAAATGCGGATCGAAAGCGGCATGCTCCCAGTTCGTCGTACCTGTCAGTGGAAATTGGGCCGTGAGCAGACGCATAACAGCTTGGGCTCCTTCCGTCGGCGCCTCGTTAATGAGGTTCTGGTTAATGAGGGCGAAACCCAGAAGCAGCGCTCCGGTGATGACGAAGATGATATCGGCGACCACAAAGGTCATCAGCACCTTATTCGCCATGGTTGCTGCGTTTCGTTAAATCGAGCAGCCTAGAGACCCGAGAACCAAGATGTCGCTCGGAGAGACTTGGCTGCTCCTCGTCCTGCGTTGCTGGTACAAAGTTCCTCCTCTTTTTCTCCTAGATCCTCCTCTTTTGAAACAATTTTTTTTTAGAATCTGCGATTTAGAGATTTGATTTGATCGACGTCCGGCGTCTTTGTCCAAGGTTGGTGTTGAATACGGAATCGGGTAGTGCGTCGTCGTCGGTGTCGCTGATGTCGGTGGGTAAGGACTGTCTTCGACCAGCAAAAATAAAACTGAACCTCCACCACCCAGCGGGGACGAGCACACGAGAAGAAGGGGGAAAAGAAAGAAGTCGACGAAGCCGTCGCGAAGAAGGGAATAAGGTTAGAGTGAACGATTGTACAGAAGAACGTGAAGATGGACCGATAATCACCCTCCAGAGAGACAGTCCGACAGCAGCACGGAGCGGGAGAAGAGGGGAGGAGATGCTGTCTGGTGCCTCGTGTTGCGGCAGAGACGAGGCCTGAGAGAATGGGACGTGGGCGGTGGAGCGGGAGAGCGGCCGGTAAGGGGGGCCCACAATACTGTCTCGGACGAGACCTGCGTAGGCAAGGGAGACCCCAGAGGAGAATCGCCAGATTCAAACAGTCAGGCGAGGGGGCGCTGTATCGAGAAGGAGGAGACACCCTCTTGCTGCTGTGTGCTTGTCCGAGTGGGTTACGGTTACGTATTGGTAGGCGGTCAGAACCCCTCGTCGTCTCGACGGCTCGAACAGCAGACGCAAGGATGAGAAACGCACCAGAAACACCTGGGGACCTGCCCACGCTCGTCCACACTGTGCCCAGAGGCCTTGCTCCCCCGCGATACGAAGCCGTGTGAAGAACCCGGAGCCACAGCAGAATGAGGACTGTGAAGGGGGAGCAGAGGGCTGAGGGAGGTCGCGATGAATCCGACTCCCTGACGGACTGCGTTTCAGGACCGAGGGGCCCGCTCATGCAGGCGGCTGTGGCACGCACCAATCCAGGAGCCGTGCAGGCGCTGGTGTCCGGGATAGTGGCCAATCACAACGCTGGAATCGTCCAAGAGTCGCCAGATTGGGGTGGTCGTCCGTTTGAGCCAATGGCTTAGTGGTTAGGGCTGCCCGTAGTGTCCCGGTACCTGGCCTGGTCTGGCCCTTGCTAGACAAGACGACCACCAGTCACAAGCTGGAACGCTACATTACGTAGCATTGCTTTCTCTTACATCTTCACGTGGTGAAGCGTGGCTCATGCCTGCGACACTCTCTAGGTACGTAGAATATGCTCACTTCAGCGGCCAACAGCCCCCAACACCTCGAGACACTCAAGCCTCCTCGACTTACATCATCATGCCCAAGGGGAAAAAGAGAAACAGGAGACGAACTCAGGAAACCTCAACTCCCAGCAGGTGGACGCGGCAAGCCGCAACGCGAGACATGTCACAATCTTCGACCGCGAATACTACTATACCACGCGTCCATGGCCTCTTGTGCATCCGCATCAAGTGCCGGCTAGCCCGACTACCTACCTACCTGTATCCGTAGGAATAGGTTGTGTCCGTAGGCGCCCTGTTCAAAGGCAACGTCGGCCAGCTCCCACTTGGCGATCGTACGAAGGCAAACTCAGGCACCGGAGCACTCTACCGATTCAGAGTTCCTTAAGGCCCGCCGCCGCCCGAGTCTGTGAAGCCCTGCGAATTTGAACTGATAGGAGCCCCGTCATGGCACGATCCAGTTCCCTGGTCTCGCCTTCCTTCGACTGCGGTGGTACGGTGGCACCACATTACCGCCGCCTACGCCCAATTTCCAAGCTCTTGGCTCACCTGGCAAACCATGTCTGGCGCCTCCCCACCATCCTTCTCGTAATAAGGTAATCCGGAGATGCGCGACCAAAAAAGACTGTGGTGCTTGTAAGTTGTGGTTCCTCGGGAACGACGACAGGGATCTTGGGCGCTAGCGACGTCTCGGACCCTCCCTTTATTTTTCACTCCTATATTTTTCGTCAGACTTTCTCCGGGTTTGCCCAGACTTGTGGCTCTCACATGGACGAATGCCTATGATTCAATGAGGCTCTGTGGTCTTACGCATCTCTATTCGCATCCCTTGCATACCACAACTTCTGTCCCGGTATGCCCACCACGCACCGGATTGCAGGGAATAACTCTCGGACTTTTCCTCCTCAGAACTCTCGCTATTTTGAACGCCCAGACCTGTCAAGAGAACCCTCCAACCCGTATCCGTCTCTGAGGGACAAGTCAGACTCGGACAGTCTGTCGTTGTTGACCTCTCGACGAGAGCCTGGTCCACTGAGAAGGCGTGGTATCCGGGTGGAAGCATTGCCGTGTTCGATGCTTGACGGGACCCCACCTTTGTCGTTTCGTGCATCCTGCGGTGCCGTTCCGTTCCGTTGCGTCGTCTGGTATATTTCGATTCACAGGCAATCAACAGGAAACGTGCGCGCGTGAGCCTAGAAACCGCGTGCATTCTATTCCATTACCCGGCAATTCGGAACCGGCTGGCGTCTTCGATGAACTGCGTCTGGTTCCAATTGTGGTCCTTATCTGTTCCGGGCTGTTGCGATGCCACGGTTTGCTACCAGGCCAACGTCTTTCCGGGCTGTTCTTGATGCAGGTAAATGAGACCCAAGTCGTGACGCAAGTCGTTCTGCGAGTTGACGATGCGGCGCTGAACCAACCAACACCTTCTTCATCTGTTGTTTAGCGATCCTACCACACACGTTCTGCAGCGGCGCAGCCCGGCACTTCGATATGTTGTGCTTAGATGATAAGCAAACAAGCCTCGCAAGCAATCTGGCAAATTAACGCCAGTATAAAAAAAAAAAGACGACAACTGACTGAGCACGCGCCACCTCCGCTCAAACCAACAGCCACCACGCACACACCACCCACCACTCACAACTTGCGAAAATTAATACAATGCTTCCATCACGCAAAACTCCAGAAAGACATATTTTCCAACATCAACAAAAAATGGTTGGGCCCTAACCAGGATTCGAACCTGGGACCTCTCCCAGATGGCGATATCTTCCAACAACCCTAAGGGAGAATCATACCGCTAGACCATCAGGGCAGATTGTATTCCAAGTGGACTTCTTGGATGGTCGTCGAGGCGAAAATTGCGCTCAAGTTGTAATTGCAGTGGGGGCGACGGCATTTGCTCGACCAAGGGCATCTCATGAGACAGGGATGTGTCGAGGCACAAAAGCGGGAACAAGGGTGAGACAGACAATTCAACGGCGTGTGGCGCTTCAACTACGAATTATATTCGGTAACGAGTAATTCCCACTGAGCAACACGTCTGCAACACAAGCGTTCCGTTCCTTGCCAACACAGCCTATCCGCCGTTTCGTACACTTCCGAATCCACCTTCTGGTAGAGTCTAACAGTATGGCAGAGACGTATTGGAGCAGCTTCCGACAATGAATTTTTGGCTTGCATTGGGCTTATCTGCTTAAAGGGTTGCGCCGACGGTTCAAGAACATGATCAATGATGTGAACAACGCCCTTGTACCAAATTTCCATCAGAGCCGTTAGCCCGTGTAGGTTGAACTGGAGAGAACGCACCTTGGTAAACCTCCGCTTTCCGTTGGTCACCATCGCAACATCGTTTAGCAACACCTGGCCATCCTTGATCTGCATGCCGACGTATAGGTAGGACTCTATCTGGAACCTCGTGGCGACACCCCCTTGTCCGAGCCGCCACTACGTACCCAACTCGCAGCTGCTTACGGATGTCTGCAACGGAGCCGCGACGAGGATCCAGATTGGGTATTACGTGTACGTCGGCGCAATGATACTGAAGTATTGTGCCGTGTGTTCCTCAAGGGCGAAGAAGGTGAAGTCCAAAGGGGGAAAGGGTTTCAAAAGCTCGGCGAAGCCCGCGGACCCGTCCAGTACTGTGACGAGCGTCGTCGGGCCGTTCCTAGAATTTGATGATGTCTGGGAGGGTTGTCGCGCTGGAGATCTTTTGGGACACGTAAGGACCCGCCGGCTTGGGCGCGTAGGACAGCGGGTTCCTGTCTGCGGAGACCGCCGTTGATATCGCCACGAGAGTGAAGATGCTCATTATCTCGAACAACTTCATGACGGATACAGCTGATAGTATTTCCAAGTGGTACGTCGCGAGCGTGGAAATGCAGATGTAACGACATGGGGAGCGGCAGCCTAATACCAGGAGGTCAAAACTAGGCAGAGAACTGCATAAAATACATCGCACACCATTTGGAAGTCATCAAAAACCTCATGGCGAATGATTGGTCACTAGGTCAATCTTCCGAGCCGGTTCCGTGCCCCGATAGTCGTCCCGGAGTGCGGGAGATCGACTTGCCGTTGTGTTCTCCGCAGATCGCATCTCCGGATGGGTAAGCTACAGGGGTAACACCCCGGGTGACATCAGGTTTCCCCAGACGAGCAGAGACCATTCCTTTTTAAATATTTCCAAGTCGAGTATGGCTTGTAGTTTTAAAAAAAAGCCATGTAGCATCCGTCGCTTGTTGTACCTACCGATGTACCCGTACCATCTCCCTCTCGCAAGTGAACGCCATGCTACCTGTAACACTCCTCGCCATCCTCGCCGAAGTGCCCTGTGCCCCAGGGTCCTACAAGTCTGGCGATATCTCAAAGCCATAAATGGGCGAGAACTGTCCCTCTTCACAGGTCATCAGATCCGACCAAGAAAAACGTAACATTCACTTTACGTCCTCTTCCCCCCAACAGGCTAGAACTCGTGGAACTCATTCAACCAGACCCTCATCCAGACTACGACAAATTTGATGGTGTAAAAGGGCCTAGCCAGGGCCGGATGCAGCTACGTTGTCATGGACGAGGGCTGGCAGGCTCTCGAGCGAGACGCCGAGGGTCGGCAGCAGCACAACGCCGCCCGCTTTCCATCTCGTGTCTCTGCGCTCGCGGAGCACGTACACGCTCTAAGTCTCAAGATTGGTCTCTACGCGTACTATCCCTTACATTGCCAGGGCTTCTGTCTGTTTTCTTTTTAGCAGCTTGCTACCGTGCAAGATTGACTCGTTGAATAGAAAGGAAAATACATACACCCATGAGAACGCTTGCTAAATAATTCTCAATGACTCTGTAATCTTTGGCTGCGTCTTTACCCCTGGCTCCTTGCGTTACGAAGAGCTCGACGCCCAAACTTACCCCAAACTTACGCGGCCTTGGTGTGCCTACCTAAAGTACGACAACTGCGGCGGCTTCCACGCGGGCACGCACACCCAGCAGGAGCGCTTCCAGACGATATCGTCCGCCCTGCTGGCGATCGGCCGTGAAATATTCTCCAGCCTGTGCTATTGGGGCCACCAGTTCCCCTGGTACTGGGCAGACCAGGTCGGCGCCGCGTCGTACCGCATGTCAGGCGACATCCACGCGAGGTTCGCCGAGGACAAGGCCAACATCTGCAAGACGGCGTATTATCTCAACACCGGGTACGCCGCGGTGATCATGCTGACGATGATCCGGAAGATGAGGGAGATCTCGGGAGATCTCGCAGTTCCAGGCAAAGGAGAGGGGGAGCTGGGCGGACATGAATATGTTGGAGATCGGCGTCGGGTATAATGTCAGCGGGAAGATTGTGTACATGTCCGAGGCAGAGGAGTAGACGCACGTCTCCTTCTGGGCGTCGTTCAATTCGCCTCTTATCATCAGAGACGTGGGCGTACCGGTACGTTCTACTCGCTCTTAACTATGGGGAAAATGCGGCGAGCATCGAGGTGCCATGGCAGGGAGTCGAGGGGTTGGAGGAGTGTCCCGGCGAATGTGTTAATGTGAGAGATGTATGAGCGGACGAGGACCTGGGGACCGTGAAGAAGACGAGAACTTGGAAAGGTGTATCGGTGGGGCAGACCAAGGTTCTCTTGCTGTTCTACTATAAATTTAGAGAGACCTTCAAGATGAATGAATGTGAGTAGGTCATTAAATCGCCGTAGGTTATCTACTGTAGCTTGGGGGTATGCATTTTTCAACCACTTCGTGCTATGTACTTGTTCACATTTCCCAGTCCTTACCAAATCAGAGACTGGCCGGTTCACCCATGGTGATATTCTTTTGATCTATTTGAGCAAACGGACACTAAACTTGTTTCTGACTGCTTGCTGCGCTTGGTCCACCATGAGAAGAAGCATACCTTAGTCCAAAGAGCTCGCCCCTGAGCTAAAGCTAGCAATACGAAGCGCGAGGCCGTCGAATTTGAAGAAGTTCCCGTCGCAAATAGCTTCAATAAGAGATCGGTAGATGACCTGGACCAAAATCAGCGGTCAAGCTTGTGTAAGAAGAAACCTACTACCCAACGCGCATCACCATCATCAAAGGCCAAGGTCCTCCAGTCTAACACAAATCGGCCATTTACACAGAAGCGCAGTAAACACTGCCAGGAGACGGTAGCCGGGCTCACTACTCCCCCGTTCTCTGCAGCTGAAATCAACAAGCAACAAGCAAAGTCTCTGGCAGCTGGGCTCTTCTCCCCAGGGTCACAGCAAAGATCTGGGGCGTGGACCAACATAGCTTCTCTTCGGCATGAGCGATTCCCACTTAAAACGACAAGCACCAAATGTCATTCTGCTAACAGGCGTTTTGATGCGCAAAGTCATCGACACCGACCTTGTTTCCGGAGTACACCAAACCAAGCGGAACCAATGGCGTGCTTGAACCAATCGGCCAGCGAATTTGTAGGCTGGGTTGTCGGACACATCGCCAAGCCCGTTCCATCTTTGAGCAATCACATTGAGACTCTTCTTGGGCCGGGGTTGGTTATCTTCCTCGCCGCCAGACTGGCAGGACAGCTTGTAGGTACCGTACGCTCCGGAGCAAGGCAGGTGTTATCCAATCGATTACCCACCTCACTATCCAACTATTCAAAGCAAACGAAGGCGCCGTTGTCACAAGTCACATTGGGGATCATGTCGGGGTAAGATCTGAACGTGGAGAAGGTGCATGCGGGGAAGACTGGGCACCCATCACAATGACATGCCCGTAGACCGCTGAAAGAAGCCACTATGGAGGGTATCCTTGACTTTAACGTCTGGTAATCTCTGCCGAAACCATTTTTCCACACCAGAGCTTGTTCAGAAGATGGCTCGTTTTCCTCGTCTGAACGCCTTGGGATCGAAATTTCAGAGCCATAGAGGCCGTATGAACGATATGATGATAAGCGTACGATTATTTGATAGAATGTCATAACCTAACGACATGAGAGCTTCACATTACTTAACACTTCCTAGTCAGGTCACGTTACTCAGTACATCGATCCCACGGCAGTAGCACTAGGCCAAAAGTCAACTAAGTTGCGATGTACGAAATGTCTTTAAACAGACGGATAAGCAAGTAATTACAACAATCTCGACTACAATAGGTCTGAAGGAAAGCATCTCGGACTCACTGCAACAACAAAACTTACAATATGAAGAAAGAATACGCCGACCAGGTCACTGGCGACACTGCCATCGCCCCGGCACCTTCTCATGTGGCTATTGGGCACTAGGAGGGGGGCAAGTCAGTGACTGTGACCCTACCACCTGGTTCAACGAATATCAGTCATCTCTTTTCCCTCGATTCTTCTCTGTCTCTACAGAATCAGGCAAAAAAAAAAAAATGCAGGAGAGAGACCCATAGCTGAGTAACCAACCCACCGACCAACGACTATACCAACACTCAGGACATCTACGGTGACGATAATACAAACAAGAAGATTTTATTCACAGTCAACAAAGAAATCCTGGCCTATACGTTGGACACCTCCTTCTGCCAGTCCCTTGAAAAGGTCACTCTTGCTTGCGCCTCTGTCTTGGACATCAAGGAAGACGCCAAAATCATCGGCCAGCATTTAAGTAAGATGTAACCCTCTGACCGCATTAGAGAGAAGCAAGAATGTGAGAATAGTCTCTGATTTATATTTGAATATTTGGCTTGGCACTATCTTGTACATGAGTGCCCTTGTCGGAGAGTACCCGACAAACCCGCTCCCCCAGAAGCTTCCCGCCGCAAAGGGCCTTGCCACCAATGTCTTCTGCTGGGGCATCGTCATTGCCTGCTCAGCTGCCGCCAAGGCCGTCAAGGCTCTCACGGTCGTCATATTTCTGCTCGGGCTTTTCGAGTGTTGTGGTCAAGGTTCTTCATCGTGTTCGTAGCTCCGAGCCCCTGAATGGCAGAGAAATCCTACTGACACAAACCTCGCAGGACTTCGATGTGGGTGAGTAGACACTCTACTCTTAGCAATAGCGCGTCGCTTACAATACAGAGAAGTTAACACTGGTTAGTCTATGAAGAGAGAACAGTCCATCCTAACGTCACTCTGGTTCTGTATGAGTGGAGTCCAGCTCATGGCACGTTTGCCCCCCCCCCCCCCCCCCCCCCCCCCACCCCCCGATTCCTCTTATGCCCTCTGCACCGACAAAAAACAAATGTGGAGCTGGACACTCGTGATGGCACACCTCAGCACCCCACACTGGCCGCGCCCCTCGGCTGGGGGGGGGGGTGCGGTGTGGGTCGTGTTGTGG